GGCAGCCAGGAAATGCATAAACAAAAATACAGAAGAATTCGATAGTTGCCTTACAAGTATTACCAGGGGTGCCACCAATTCACCTACAGTGAGAGAAATAACCATAGGGATGCTAACTATTTCCCATAATTTTAACAAGTCTAAACAAGACAAGCCGCGTGTGTAGCTGAGGTGTATTTTAATGGGTAGGCAAGGCATTATGATGCACCCAAGGTACGACTTTCAAGAGGGGAAATGCCCTCGGTCGTATCGTTTTACTCTGAATCCAACAGACGTCTTTAGAAGATTTTATACCTCCAACAAAAGAAGGTGCACACTCCCTAGATATTACCACTATCACTGAAATCATTTTTAAAGATTATTCAAATGAAGTTTCAGAACTAACCGACATCATTAACTGCACTTACTTATATCTAAGAAGCTGAATACTATTAATATCCCATCAATGTAACTGAATTTAAATAATTTCAAATTATATCAATTTTATTGCATAGTGGAATTTTATTGAGTTTTAAAACAATATTGAACTATTCAAACTTTTAATTTACGAATCGTCTGTGTGTTTTAAACCGATTTTAAACCCATCAAGTAAAATTTATTATTTTTACTGGGAATACACTACAATTTTATTTAAAATAAGTTTATTGACCGTTAACTTCCGTTCTTGTCAACTTGTCCGTTGACTTCGTCAAAGAACCAAAATTTGCAGTCGGGCTCTACAATGGATTATCATTGATATAGTCATCAAATAGGTCATCAAGGATGTCACTAAGAACTCTAGATAGATAGAACAGAATAAAAATTTCTTGGTGTAATTGGATTACCAGTTAGTAGGCTAACACACACGAATCAATATTATTGCACAATAAATTAGTTCCCGACTGAAACTTTTTTTATCAAAATGTGTAATAAAAAAACGGCGAGTTGTGCAGGCTATCGCATCAGTTGTAGCTTCACAAGGGTCGAAAAAAATAAAAAAAGGGGATGAAAGAATGGACCAAAAAAAGAAATAAGGACACTCATGAAAATTTATTAAACGATTTAAGAATTAGCTAACCAAGTGATTTTCAAAACTTTCTGTATTTACTCTATATCTGAAATTCAAAAAAGCGATACTGTTATGCGAGATGCTATCTCACCAAGTCAGCGTTTATCAATAACATTACATTACCTAGCTACTGGAAATACCTTTGCTCCAGTCGTCAGAGACAAAATGCCACTGAATCTCTAGAAATCATACTAACAAGCTGAATTTTGCCGAAAATATTAATTTTGAGACCCCAGAAAAGGTGCAAAAAAGTTTACCACAATAAAAACGCAAAAAAATCGATTTACCATGAATCTGTACACTGTAGAAAAAAATTTTTCAAATAGAAAATGGAGCTGAGATAATTATAAACAAAAATATTTATAACCATTTTTTACGTAGAATGAATCGTTCTCTTAGAAAAAACGCTTGAAACGACCGTTGATTTTGCATGTCAGATACGCGCGCGAAATCAATGTTTAATAAAATTTGTATTAGCTCGACGGTAAAAATTCGATATCTGTTAATTCAAGAGACCTATCGACAAAAATAAAGATGCGTTTTAAAGGTAAAGAGTTCAGCTTTCGTATGTAGTTTTTGTATTTAGCTGAGAATAAACCCAATTTATTCTCAGCTAAATACTGAGTGCTTAAAAATTAGTCCACTTTACCAGTTTTGTTTTATTTTTAGGAAACGTTTTATTCATGTACGTTGATAGAGTAGAAGTAGTGGATTACATTTTATTTTGTTGTCATTCTTGCTTGAGATTCATCTATAAAGCTCCACCATTATCTTACGTATCCAATTTGTTCAAACTTCCATTCACCTCAGATGTATGGTACAGCTGTATTGGATTAATCGTAACTATATCCATTACAGGTGAGTAATTTAACTAAACTAAAGTTTCAGAATTATCGGCAGCAGCTTTTCAGAAATGTGAATGCGGTTAAGGCGATGACATCGTTGTCAGTTTGTGATTATAATGTAATCATTGACATGCATAGATTTATCATAGCTTAATGATCGTTTTTTATTTGTTAAGGTATCTAATAAAATATATTTAATAACATCAATATTTATGTATATTATATTTATATACAATAATTATATATTATTGTGATATTTAAAGTCTTGGTGCGCCAAGCAATTAATTAGCTAATTAATTAATTAATTAATTAAAATTATTTAAATGATATGATTATGACTCTATCACACTTTTTAATTCTCTTATCTCAGGGTTAATTTCTTCATTCAATATCCATGCTATTACATGTGAACGGTAAGGTCCAAAGAATACCGGAATAATAAAAAACACATATGATATAACACTATATATTGAAATAAAAATAATGAAATAAAATTCACACTCAAATGTTTTCAATAAACAATATCTCATATAATGTTTCTTAAAATTTTGTTCTACGTACGTGAACCTTCAAAATTAATGGTATAAACAATATTAGTTAAAATCTCAAAATCCCAATTATTATTCTAAATCTCCTAATCAAAATATTTATATCCTTTCTAAATTAAGTGAAAAAATTGTGTTATCAATAAAAGAAAAACTTCAGAAAACAAACTATCTCTCTCTGATGATGAGTGGTCCAAATCCTTGTTCCTTGTAGACTATACTATTTACTCGTAGCCGCTCCCTAGGTAATCAGCAATCTTACAACAAATTATTGCAAGTTTATCGTCCTTAATGATCTCCTTCAAATGCACGAATCGTTCAAATTATGCTAGCTTCTTCTTCTCTCAATAAACTGAATCTTCGTTGGCCTGAGTGAAAACTGACTCTTGGAATATCTTTTCTTTACGATAAACTGAATCTCTCGTTGGCCTGAACAGTGACTCTTGGAATATAAGTAGAAAATATAACTTACAATCTTTTACTGGATCAGCTTCTGTCAGATACACTAACTACACGAAAACTCACAAACTTTCATTGCTACTGCTTCCTACCTCTGGGAAACTACCCGAGAACAACGGCCGTTCGCCTTCTACCCTTGGAAACCAACTGACTATCTTTTTTTTTTCTTCCGAAAACTAACTAACGTCTCATTCTCCAACCAATCATCCCACCTTTTTCAATTTCAGCCAATCAAAACGCGTCATCCATCTCCCATTTTTTCATTTCGATAACAAACAAATTTTTACCTATAATTATAAAATTTCCTAAAACTTATTTACAAATAATATTTTTCTACAATTCTTAAAAACTAACAAAAACCTATCTTTCTAAAATCTATTCTATTGTCCTAATCACTGCACTAATGTATTTGGAAAACCCGGTTCAATTGTCTTTTATTTCACTTAAGCTTATTCACGTCATACAAATATATTTTAACAAAGAAAATAAATTATGCATATCTTACGTTTTATTAAATACAGGTAATCCAAAATTAAAAGACTTTCATTCTTCGAAATGTTTGTAGTTTATTGTTTGACTTATCTGAATTATTTTATGTTTTTGAATATTTTAAGCAAAACCAAGATTTTTCTTGATTTTACATATCATAACAATATATATATATATATATATATATATATATATATATATATATATATATATATATATATGTTTTTTACGGATTGGAGTCAATAAAAGGGGCTATTGGATAACTATTCTTTAGGGCTTTCGATTGTCTTTACAATCATTTTCAAGAGCTAAAAGAATACAAAATATCTTACAAACTGAAACTATAAAAATAAATTTTAACTCACCAAATAAAATTAGTTTTGTTAGTAAATCTAATCTTCTAAACATATTAAAAAACCATTTTAAAAAATATCCAATGAATGTTTCTCTAAATTTAGTAATTTTGAAAAACTTTTTTAACAAAACTAATTGAATTTATAAATAAGTTTTTGATGACTAAATTGAATAATTTAGATGTACAAGAAACATGATGTAGATTCCAGTCCTACTCTCACAGATACCACTTGATTCATATAAAGGTTCTTTATGATTTTAAGGTCATTCTCATCTATCGAACATTCCTGGAACAATCGAATGCTTTCTAGTAATCTATAAAGCATAGGAAGACATCTTTTTACTGATCGCTGCATTTCTGAAGTAGGACAGTTAAGCTAGAAGGTGCTTCTCTTGTGCCAAATCCTTGTCTGAAACCGAACTGTGTGGGGCTAATGTCTCTTTCATATCTGTTGTATATTCTTGTGTGAATTATTTTTAAGAAGAGTTTTAGGACCTGACTCAATAAGCTGATCATTCGGAATTGGTCGCAGCTATTAGCGTTTGGCTTTTTTGGGATTGGCATAAAGGTTGATTAAAGCCAGTCCTGTGGTATTTGACCGGACCCATAAATGTCATTAAAAAGATCTACCAAGGTGTCTAAATTGTCTTCACTCAACATTGTTAGAACCTCTATGTATATGTAGTCTGGACCTGGTGCTTTTCCACATTTGCTCTGTTTGATTGCCCTTACAACTTCTGACTTCAATATTTTGGGGGAGAATTCACTTTTATACTCACTTTCAGAGTTTCTTCTAGTTGTGTCTGCGTATAGTTACTGTGTGTAGTTTCACCAATGTTGAAGTAGATCTTTGGGATCAGTAATTAATTTATTGTCCTTCACAATACTGTTAAAACAGCTAGGTTTTGTAAGACCTGTCACTTCTTTAATAAGTTTATGTATGTTAAAGTGGTCATGTTTTTCTTCCAATTCCTCCATTTCTGCACACCTGTCTAGCAGCCACTGTTCTTTAGCTTTGCGACACTCTTTTTGTATTTGTCGGTTGATCTGCTGATGTTTGGTTCGGTCTTTGTTTTTAAATGATCTGGTGAGAGACTTGGAGGTGGTTACGATAGCTGTTTTAATACAATTCCATTTGTCTTCTATACTGGCCGGTTGTTTAGATCTTGTCATGATCTTGTTGTTTACTGAATAAACGGCTTAATTGATCAATTATAGTTTATATCTAAAGCTAAGTAAATCCATATTTTGCTTTCCAGTTTACATTACAACAACATGGGAAGCTACTGATCCAGTTTTCAAAAACAGCAAACAACACAGCAATGCTGCAAAACTACAACCGGCGTGGTTTGATATTATACTGATGCAATTAGGAGCCATAACCCAACAGGGCGCTGAAGCTGAACCCAAAAGTAATTCTGGAAGGATGGTGTTTGTTTTTACTTTTATTTCTATTTTGTTTTTGTACACTGCATACACAGCGAATATTGTAGCTTTATTACAAAGTACATCAGACGTAATCAAGAATTCGGAAGACTTGGTGAACTCTGGAATAGGACTGGGAATGCGGAATATTTCATTTGTTCTGAGACTTTTAGCGGTAATGTATATACCATTTTATTTATCTGTTTAAAAATACATTATTGATTTACCAGATGTTTACACCATAAACCATATTAAATCATGGTAAAAAGATAAACTAATAACCAAGAATAATACATCTCCAATACATTTAAAAGGGCTTTCAAATGCCATAAATAAATCATTTAAAAAATTTTATGTTAACATTTTTTCAATTTGTACCCTTTGTAAATACTAATTATTTATACAAATGTGTAGGTATACAACTTATTCAGCTGTAAATGATGGCTTGTGGACCGTTCTTTCCTTTGGCAAGCACAGCTTTTTCAAGTTTTCTAGGAGTTGTAGAAGTAGCTATGCGAAGTCTAAGTGGCCTTTTATGTACCATGTGTACTTGATGTCTCATGTGCTAAAATTACTGCTAAAAGTCATCCATAACCGAATATATCACAAACTGGACATGGACATAGACGTTAATGATACACAATTTGATTTTTTCAAAGACCTAGGAACGCGTGAAGCTCTTTTTTTACTTAATATATTGATACAAAGATGCCTGGACGTCAATCAAGATATGTACGCATGTTTTATTGACTATAATAAAGCATTCAATAAGGTACGACATAACAATTAATAAATGTTCTGAAATCAAAGAAGATTGACTACAACGACCTCAGGATCATATCAAATTTTTACTATAAACAGCGATCAAAAGTACGTGTTAACGAACAGCTGTCAGAAGAAATTGAATGACAGGCTCCAGTTTGCTGCCATGCGTTTAGTGGTATCAGTTTTGTTTCACACTCAGGAAAGTGCACCATAAAAAGTTCTTTCGCCATTCTGAGTGAATTCCCCTGATACCTTTTGGAGTTATAGTTATCTGACGGTCCTTAGGGAGGACTTTATGGAGCCTTGATATTTCGGAAGCCTGTTCTACGTTCTCGAAATACCTTCGACATTGTTTTCGAACGCCAATGTGACAATCTTTTGAAATTATTCTGCAGCCATATCTATTTCTAGTTAATGTAGTAAATTTTAGTTTAATAGGTTTAAAATTTCATTATTTCTAGACATCTACAGACCCAATCACAAAATCTGTATACCAAAAAGTGTCGGAAACAGGTCGAAGGTCTAATATACTAGAATTGGAAGAAGGAATGGATAGAGTACGAAAGGAATTTTTTGCTTTTCAAACTGATCCATCCGTGGCATACGGTATTGTTAAAAAAACTTTCCAAGAAAGTGAAAAGTGTGACTTAAGGCAGGTCCGTCTACTTCAAACTGGAACGCCGCATGTTGCGATGCGGAAAAATTCACCGTACAAAGAAATTGTTAAAGTGGGGTGAGTAAAATGAATCAAAATATAATTTCTTATTCTTCTTCTTCTTCCTTCTTGTATGTAAGCCTGTTTCTTCTACAATATTAGCCTCCTAAATTGTTTAAAGTATCGCACCATATTTTTCTTAGTCTGCCAATGCTTCTTCTTCCATTTGATGACTTAACTCGTGCTATTCATACTATCCATTCCTCTGCCATTCTACTAATGTGTTTGTTCCACTCCTGTTTCCGTTTTGTCACCCATCCATTTACGGCTTCTATATTTCAGGCTCTTCTTATGTTTTCTCTTCTCTCCCTATCCAACAGACTTTTCCCTGATATTCGTCGGAGTATTTTCATCCCTGTTTTTTTAGTAGTCGTCTCGTTTTAGATGTATCAGGTCTTGTCTCCTCCGTGTATGTTAATATGGGTCTAATTGCTGCTTTATAGATTCTTGTTTTTATGTCTTGTCATAAGTATTCGTTCTTCTAGATTGTGTCATTAAGAGATCTCATTGCGTTACTTGTTTTTAAGCTTTATTGTCCTAGTTATTCTTCAATATCTCCGTAGCTAGTTATATCTATTCTCAGAAAGCTAAACCTTGCTTCCTGCTTTATTATTTTCCAATCAATTTCGATTTTACATCGTAGTGGTTATTTAGATGGGTATGGAGCTCGTCTTCTGTTTCGGCAATTAATGCAGCGTCGTCTGCATATCATAATATTTGGATTTCTTTGTTCCCTATTCTGTAACCATGACCTTTAGTACTGCTTGTATTATTTCGTCCATTATTAATTAATTAACCAGTGACAATAATACATGTATACACGTCTTTTTCTAATTTGATTTTTATCTCTACTTTTTTATTAACATTATTAGTAAAGGAAGTTCGGTGAATATGGAATACCAATTCTTATTATGCACTTATAAATCACCACACCAGAGTAAAAATCGATAATAATAAGGATGGCTAAATGCATTTACCTTATGGGGAAAATGTATTTGGTAAATAACATTCAGTCGAAAAATAACAAAAATATATTTAATGTCGTATGTCATTTTTAGGCGACAAGAACAATGACGAGTAATTATGGAATAGTGTTACTGGTAATATGATATACGGCAATACAAAACTAAAATTATAAAGTTTTTATTTGGTAACGTTATGTATGTGTTTGGTAACACATGCGGTGATTATCGGACAATAAGTCTGATGAGTCACGTTTTGAAAATCTTTCTGCGAGTAATACACAGCAGAATTTATACGCTGTTAGAGGACAGAATTAGCAATACTCAATTTGGGTTTAGGAGTGGCTTGGGTACAAGAGAAGCCTTGTTTAGTATACAGGTGCTAGTACAGAGATGCAGAGATATAAATCAAAATGTGTATATTTGTGCAATCGATTTTGAAAAAGCTTTTGACAAAGTCCGACATAACAAAATGCTAGAAATATTGGAAACAGCTGGATTGGACGATAAAGATCGAAGAATAATTACAAATCTATACTGGCATCAAGTGGCAAGAATAAAGGTTGAACAAGAACTGTCGGATGAAATAAATATAAAAAGAGGAGTGAGACAAGGCTGTATATTGTCGCCTTTACTTTTTAACTTATATTCGGAGGAAATATTTAAGGAAGCCTTAATGGAGACAACCGAAGGTATTATTGTGAATGGAGTAACCGTCAACAGTATTAGATATGCCGACGATACCTTAGTCCTTGCCAATTGCGGAGAAGACCTTCAAAATCTAATGAACAAAATAAAACAGACTTGTGATCAGTATGGATTAAAACTCAACGTTAAGAAAACTAAATATATGATAGTTAGCAAACAAAATTATATACATGATGACGGTATAAAAGTCGGAGATGCCACACTGGACAGAGTAGAGAAACTCGTGTATCTCGGCAGTAATATCAATGAGAGCTGGGATCCAACCGCAGAAATTAAAAGCCGAATAGAACAAGCCCGAGCTGCCTTTGTAAAAATGAGAAACGTACTTTGCAGTCATGATCTTAGCATTGACCTTAGAGTTCGTATGATATCTTGCTACATCTTTCCTGTCCTGCTGTATGGAGTAGAAGCGTGGACCCTAACTGAGGCTATGCTTAAACGCTTGACAGCCTTTGAGATGTGGGTATACAGACGACTACTGAAAATAAGCTGGGTCGACAGAGTTAGAAATGAGGAGGTCCTTAGACGGCTGAACCAAACAACACAACTGGTCAATATAATAAAGAAACGCAAGCTGGAATACTTCGGTCATATTATGAGACACCCTGAAAAATATGATCTTTTACATCTGATCATTCAGGGAAAGATCCAAGGTAATCGTGGTCCTGGTAGAAGAAGAACATCATGGCTAAAAAATCTAAGGCAATGGTATGGAAAATCAACTACATCGTTATTTAGAGCTGCTGTCAATAAAGTCACGATAGCGAATATGGTAGCCAACATGATATCCAACGATCGATAACGGTCATGGAACTAGAAGAAGAAGAAGAACGTTATGGACTACTATTTACAAAAGTCGCATATGTACATTTCGTGCTCGTTCCCTGTATAGGCTTCATGTGCTCAGCATTCGCACATGGCACATTAAATCCAATTGCTAGACTTTTACTTTTAGAGAATAATTATTCACAGAACACACAAATCACATCTGAGTTAGGGTCTTTAGAAGTCAAATAGGCTGCGGGAACATCGTCAGTCGAAGAATCTTTATCATGGAGAAGATCGTTTTTTCTGGATTTGTTTTCCAACTAAACTGGCCCGTCAGAAATTGTCATCGGATAAATCTAATGATTTTTAACTTGACGTTGTTGGCTTGCGTCGTTTGCATATCTTCTTGGGCTTGTACTTGTTGCCACTAGGTCTTGGTGTGTCATTATCAATTATTCTTCTCAGAACCATTTCTTTCTGCTTTGAAGGAACTGAAATACTTTGCTCCAACTCGTCCTTATTTGACGTTGATGTGAGTATCACTGACTTCCTACATTTTCTACCATGTGTTCCAGTGACGCACCCAGGGGGTGGGTTTTGGGAGTTAAAAGTAACAGTGTCGGAATAGTGCCCCTAGGGCGGTGGTGGTGACACAGAAATCTGCCAATGCATTAGATGAAAGAAAAATATTACGTAGGATACTGGGCCCAATAAGTGAAAACAACAACTGGCGAATCAAGTATAATAGAGAAATATACGAGCAATATAGCGAACCAACTGCAGAGATTATGGTGGGCAGGGCACGTGGTCCGCATGCAAGAGAATGGAATCCCCAGAAAATTACTAAATGCAAGAATGCAGGGAAAAAGACCTGTTGGAAGACCTAAAAAGAGATGGGAAGACGAAGTCGATGAGGATGCCAGGAACTGCCTGGGAACGCGTTCATGGAAAAGAACAGCAGCAAATCAAAATGATTGGAGAAGCTTGTTGAAGGAGGCCAAGGCCAATTTGGGCTGTGGTGCCATTGGATGTATGGAGAGCACTATGTTACTAAAAAATTTTAAGGACTTAAAATGGAGGAAGCATAAAAAAAATTCGGTGCCCAACCAAATCCCCCCACAGGAAAATTCTGGGTGCGCCACTGATGTGTTACTTCCTTCTTTTTAAGCTGTGGTAATGGAATAATATCTTAGGTATGTTGTATCTTGCTTAGTTATGTAGATTACTTTCTGCTAATGCCTTTCACTGCTTTCTCTCTCTCTCTCCTGTCTGGATTTTTAAATAGGCATTCTCAAACAATTCACATACGTCGAAATGAATTATTGCTTGGTTAGTCGTTCTAATAAAAACTCTAACTTCTACACTGTAATAAGTTTTAGGTTTTAATTCGATAAAACGGAAATTAAAACCTAAAACTTATTACAGTATAGAAGTGACAAAAAATGTTCCTGAGCTTCCAGAATAACATCCAAGTTTCTGGTATGAGTATGATACCCATCTAATACCTGTAGTATAGTACTGTCTTAAGTGGATTTGGTGTAATCCAAAAAATAGTCGAACCACTAGGTAAACAAGCCCCTCTGGATCCACCCAGAAGGGTGAATGGCGAAGGGAAACCCTGGTGGAGCGGCTTTTTTAAGCAGCTCGTTGGATTTTTTCCTGGAAAAAATGATCCTCGGGAAAACGAAAGGCTTACCTGCGCTCATGCAGAGAACAACTGTAATCAGGGACCCCCTTTGTGCTGAAGTAATTGAGCCAGCTTGCCGATTGCCTCGAATGTCAACGACTTCTAGATATATACTTTGTACTATGCATAATCTTGTCTCGTCGACGTTATAGAGACGATTAGGTGTTAAATTGTTTTTTCTATGACGCTTTCTTACTAGTCAAAGAATTAAGTGACATTTTCCTAATAAAAGCGAACTGCTCTTATCAGTGAAGTACCTGTGGGCTTTCTTACACTGAGAGTGTTTTTATGCCGTTCCAGAAAGGCATACAGCCAATTCTTGCCAATTTTTAGAAAATATTTTACCAATTCACTTTGTAGGACTGATGGTAAAACTGGTTTTCTTCCAAGTGATGTTTTCTGAAAAAAAGTCACCACCTTTACAACAGCGAAAGAATGTGAGACGAGAAACGCCAAAATTCTTGGATGCCGCTAAATAACTCATCCTTCTTTTTTCTTGCAGCATCTATTGCTTTGCTCATATTATCGATATTCCAGGTTTGTATTTTAGCTTTAGGCTTCTTAGGTGTCATTATAAAGTCTGTGAGGTACATTATAGGTACTTCGGAGCTTCTGGGTGCGCACCTTTATAGGAATATCGGGCAATATGAAATATCGGCTAATATTGAATATTCCATATTATCCTAATCACTTAGACGTTAGGTGTTTGTATATTGAGGTGATATTAATTGAATTTGCTAATTTTTAGAATAGCTAATGCATACAATGGTACCTACAGTATACAGACCTGATCGCCAAAATGTAATCGCCAAAAAC